TTATAGTTTTGTGTATTATTGTTAAATAATATGGCTTTTTACAAATAGTAACTAAAAGTTTAATAAAAGCGACGAAAGAATAAATAAATCGTTAAAATTTTTAAAAATTCTGCATTTTAAATAATGACAATCAAGATTATTTGATAGTTTTATTCTAATGTCGATTAAGTTTTAGAATATTAATATTATTGTGTTTATTACTTATCACTGGCAGTTTCAGGGAAACTGAAGATGACTATCGAAGATAGTCGAAATATTGGAACAATTATTTTTAATAAAATATAACCTACTTTTAAATATAAATAATAAATTATAGTGTTATTATTTCTATTTAAATTGACCATTTAGCCCGTTAATAAATTAATATAATTAATAATATAAAAATTTTCTTGCAATAATTTCTAAAGATTTACGATGTGGTTTATCAAGGCAAGAGTGCTAGCTTTCACTACTGATAAAGAAACTCGATCTCGATCCCTCGCAGTTTCATCAAAATCTCTGACCATAGTTTCAAAATTTTGTGCTCATTTAACCGAGAACATGATTTGCTCTCATTGATTTCCATATAACTTGTAAAGGTTAAAAAAATGCTAATGTCGATTAGTGAAAACAAAACAAGGAATGTAATGCTTTCATAACAAGTATATAAGTCTATGGCCGTGGAGATAAATTACGAAACTATATGCCTGATGCAAACACTGAACAGCAAACGACTTAATGGTATACCAACATATGTTTTTAAGAAGTATAAGGAAAAATGGGACAAACTAACTATAGAAGATCAACATTTCACAATCATGTGAACTTTCATACATCAAATTTATGAATATACAGAATATTAAATAAATATAATATTCATCGTACAATTCTGATTTGGTACACAATGACTTTTTATTCCTGTAAGTTTTTCGTCTACAGATAAAACCTTGCATGTATTAAAAAGTTATATTTCGAAGGGATATCAAGCGAAATGGAAAAACGGCTGTAACATACAGTATAGAGAATTTATAAAATGCAATAAAGGTAATTTAATTTCTTAAAAGTGTTTCCATTTGCATCGAAAAATGGATTCCATTTTCACATAATGAAACTGCTGTACTTATAGAACTGATTAATTTTACCTTTAGAGGAAATAAACTAAAATTAGTTGGAAATAACCAAATAAATAATATATGGAAGTAAATAATATATGATTTTATTTAGTTATTCTTCTAAACTACTGCATTTACGAAAGCCATAAAGTGTACAAACATTACTTTGCTCAAGCGGGAGGGATAGAAATGCACAAATATATTTCAACATCAAAATGCTTGGAGCTTTGCACTAATAAAAAAATATTGAATACAATAAGCCAAATACAATACATAGTTTAGCTATTGTATTACTAAATGTTTTACATATCTTTGTAAAGTGCAATTAACTTGAATACAAAACCTACAACTGGAGTTATTGCAGGTTCAACTCAATTTGTATCTATTTTGATTTGATTTCACAGTTTATTATACTGCAAACTATGCAACGCAATGTAAGCATTTCAAAACAAAAATTTTCTTTTAAACAAAATATTATATTACAATGTTTTACCTGCACTTTTTACTAGTAAGACTACAGAATTCCATGCATATTCACTTCTATTCCTTTTTTATCTATCATAAAATTTCAAACTAAGAGCGTCTCGTAGGGAAAATATAAATTTAAGTGAAAAGAAAATATGCTGAAACGTTATATTTTTCAATTCGAGTTCAAGTAAAGTTTTTCAGTTAAATTACCAAGATACGAAATTCTGCCACAGTGTATTAAATTTTGCTAAATAAGCAAAAATATAATTATAAAAAATTCTTGAAATTTGTTTCTAAAGTTCTAAACCACAAGGATGCGGATGTGTTTGAGTTCAGTAAATTTGCACATAAACAAGCAACCATCCGCAGAGAAGATGGTTCATTAGTTACACATAGTGCAGCTAGGAAACAACTCTTGTGCCAAGTGGCAGCTTCATTAGTTCACAAAATAAATGCAACATTAGACTTCAATATTTGTTTTATAATTAAAAGTTTGAAATTCAAACCAAGTAAAATATTTGTTTTACAAATATTTGACGTGTTGGCTAAGGCTTAGTCGGCTTATATGCTCAACACAAACGCGATAATGAGGAAAGTTAAATGTTGAACTATAAATATTTACTGATTTAATTTGTACAACATAGAATATGTCATGCGAAACTATTACATACTATATATTTCCTTAAATTGTTTGAGATACAAATTTATCTACAATATATCTACATACATATTTAAGAATTTTTTAGTAAAATACTACACACAATAGTCGGTTTACTTTCGCAAATGCATACAAATTTAATTTCATTTTTAATTAAAATAATTTATTTTTTACTAAGATTGATTTTTAAATAATTTTTTTTTTAATTCAGTAACTCACTGATAATAATAAAATTTTATAAAATATTTAAATATCTCTCATAATCCATTTATTTAAAACTTTTTCCAAATATTGAAATTCTATTCAACAATTGAAAGCGATAAATATAAAAAAGATATTTTCTTCAAACTTGGCACAAATTTCTGAATGTGTTCTTTTCAAATTTATTTTTAAAATTTTATTTTTTATTTTGCATAATAGTCAATTAAAAATGAAATCTTTTTTTATTATTTTTATTCCTTTCATAAATGTATTATTTATGGTGATTCAGTCAAGTAGAAGTCCTGAGATATGGTATTTGCATTTTCCAAATAGTTTTATTCTATCTAATAAATTTATTAAATAAAAAATATATTGAATAACTTATATTCATCAAACAAATTAATCTTCTTGGTTTTTTTTTAAAAGAAATATGGATTCAATCATTTCAATTCATTGGAATAAACTTTTTTGTGTAATTTGAATCTATAAGTTTTATAATTATTTCAATTGAAATTATAAAACATATAAAAACTTTCAATTAAATTTGTATTTGTATAAATTAGTAAATAAATATATTTTTATATGTATTGAGTCAATTAAAATCATATAAATTATAAATTAAAAATATTTTAAATGAGTATATATCATAATGAATGTTTTTAAATAAATTTAAATCGTATAATATACTGTTATAAATTTTTTTATATAGTTTAATGGGAGATTATAAAATTATTAAATACAAATACAAATTTATTAAATACAAATTTATCAATTTAAAAATATGAAGCGACAAACTAAATGTAATTTACATGAATCGAATTTTTAACATTCGAGTAAAGCCAGCATCTACTCGGTTCAGCTCAGTAGCTTCTCAGGGTTTTCGTGACCTTTTAAGCCACACATTCCGACGCCTGGCCGGATTTTAGTCGCCTTTTACGACAAGCATGCCTTACCACGGGAATATTCTAGTCCCTATCACGCAGGGAGAACCTTTAGTGTTTGTGTGCACGAACACACAGTGTATTGTTCATTATTTTTTACTGATCAATCATACCTTCTGCTCAAAAAGTACTCGGATTTTGTAAATAAAACACACAAATTTAAATTTTATTCCAAATTTATTTTATCTCCTTCAAAATATGCTCCTTCTGAAGCGATACACACATGCCAACGCTTAACCCAATCTTCCATACATTTTTCGTAGGCCCGTGAAGGTATGGCTTTCAGTTTCTGCTGCGAATTCTCTTTTATCGATTCAATCGACTCGACGGTAAGCGTTTTACCACGAATGGGCAATTTCAGTTTCGGGAACTGGAAAAAGTCGCACGAATCCAGATCTGGCGAATATGGTGCCTGAGCGATGACAGTGGTGCCATGTTTGGTCAAAAAATCGCTTACAACAAGAATTTTCCATAGTAAAAATTGTTAAATGCACTTGTGGTAGTCTTACATTAACAGCTGTTGTAAACAAACTAATTGACAGATGACGATCAAATTTGTACCATATGTCAAGAAAGGGTGTACCAACATAACAAAAAAATAGCAAAGAAAAATTTTTGAAAAAGGTCTATTACTTAAGGAGTAGTTAACAAACAACAAAATCCTTTTTGAGTAGAAGGTATTTGCATATAACTTATAAACTGGTGGTCATCGTAGTTGTCGGATTGAATGGAAACGTAAGTTTAGTGCTTTTAGGAACTGTCATTAATGAATATATTCTTCAAAGTATTCTAGTCATAATATTAAAAAAGTCATATTTGCTAATGGTTTTAAATAACAAAATTCATATTTAATTGACATAAATTTTAATAATAAACACCTAATCTTTTAATCTAAATAAATTTTCAAAATATAAATATTAATTAATTGTTTATAAAAAATTTAAATTTCATACAATGCAGATTTTTTGATTCTATTTCAAACTATTCATCAAACTTTGAATAAAACTAAGTAAATTCAAGTTGGGAATATGGAATTATGTGAACACAAAAGCAATAAAATTACTAAATCCCAGTAGAAAATCAACATAAACGCTTCAGCATATAAACAACCATATTCGCAGTTACATAAGGACATTTGCATATACCACTATTTTGCATAGATATATACATATATACGCTCTTGGTACATTCTTGCTTAAAAAAAAATGGTAAATATGGAAAATTTCTATGCACTACTTGAGTACTCTATTTTATGTATGTCCTCTTGTCTGTTTGTCTATAAGTCGTTACTTTTATTTACTTATTTGTTTAGAACTTGTGCATCTGCAGTACATTGTATGGATTATGTAAACACTTGTTTAGATGCGCGTGGGTTATTCATAGATTGCGCAATTTTTTTCCATTTTTTCTTTTTTACACTAAAAAAATGTAATAAGTAAAAGTAATAAGTAAAAGTTTCGTTGTTTTATAAATGTACAATAAAAAACTCATATATGTACGTGGTATATGCTCAGTATTTTTCTTTTCTATAATATATATATATATCATATATATTAACAAATTTTAATATAAATACAAGAGTGTAGTTAAATATTTGTTGTTGTGTTAGAAACTTATTACAGATATGTCATTCATACTTACTTCAGGACTTATATCTGTTGCATTTGCACTTGCCACGAACTCACGCAAAAAGCCATCCAACTCGGTGCCTTCAATATAACCGTTGCCTGAAAATATGCAACAAAATACATAAAACTAAAGGAATCAAATAGCAAATATCCAATTGAAAGTTTTTCATTTATGCAATAAAAATAAAAATAGAAATAAAAATAAAAATGAGAATGAGAATATTTCAGCATTGCATCTCCTTCTCAGTGTCACTATCAGCATCAGCTGTGCAAATATTTGCTCCGCGATGCAATTTGAAGATATATTGTGTTTGTACGCTTGATTGTCGTAAGCAATTTTCGAACTAAAATTTTTCACATTAAAATCAGTGCAATGCAATAAAGAAATTGTCATTTCGAGTGTGAAATTTTGGTGTCGCTTAAACACAGAAATTGGGTCGGATCGATAGTGTTATCAAAGTGTAAATATTACATTTCGGGTCAGAGCAAATATCTAAGTGCGAATATTTGCACAGATTTACTGAAAGTACTGAAGATGGCAAATGCCAATATTGTTAAGTTTTTTTCTTTTTTGTTATATAGAATATATTTTATTTTTGCAATTTTTTTAATGCACAGTTTTGGAAAAAAGTACATTTAGATTTACTATAAATTTTTTTTTATTTCATTACTTTATTAAATAAAAACACATCAATAAAAAATCAAATTACTTTGTTAGAAAAATTAATTAAAGATTGAGAAAGAAATTTTCACTTGTTTAAAAAGTCGTTGAATTGGAAAAGCTCAATTCCATTTACGAAATAAAGATACAATATTATTACACACAAAATAAAAATAGAATAAACAAAATGCAAGAGTAAAATATTTAATATTTACCATCTTTATCATAATGCGACCAAACATCCATGAACTGATTTGCAGAGAGCTTCTTAAGTTCACGTGATTCTGGATCACGGTATTGGCGCATGAAATTGTGTGCCTTTTCGATTTGAACACGCTTAGCAGCGGCAGCAGCAGCACCAACAGAATCCATTTTTTTGTTTTTGTTTATTTTTTTTCACCGTCTTACTCTTGTCTTCAAGTCACAAATTTTAAATTGTCTTGGCAATCAACTCAACTTAAGTACAAGCCAAGTCACGTATAAGTAACGAAATGTAAAGCAGATGTAGTAACAGCTGGAACTGAAAACCTGGAAACTGCTACACGAAAAACTTTTTAGAACCTGAAAAACGAAAAATAAATATATATATATCTTATAAATTTAAATTGTTTTTGAAAATTTTCAGTGTAAATTTATGTGCGGGAATATGTGAGAAGAGATCAAGTAAATATCTGAAGTGCACGTACATGAGACATTAGAACCACTAATGCGAGCGTGTGCTATTTTCGTGACAAAATAAATGTGATACATGCCATTTTAAGCAGTAAATTTCAGCTCATCCTATTCGTATTAGAGCATAAGTACTTTTCAATCAATGAAATAAAAACAAACTGTAAATGTGAATAGATACAAAAAAGCCATACCAAAACCACACAAATTTTATTCACACAGTTTTTATTGCTATTTCTTTACTGCCAAAATAAATGCCCGACTAACGAAATACGCGTTCAAATTGTCGAAACACTTCAACGTTAAATAAATACCAAAATTTTTCAATTTAATTGTTGCGGTTTTCTTTTTCACAGTCGACGTCACCCATGTAGTCTCTCAAAGTGATCCAATGTTGGTGTCTTTTTTGCTAACATTTACCTGTGGAACCACAGGCATTTATTTAAACGTTGAGCATTTTTGGAAGGGGAGGCTTGTGGTTGACGTTTTCACTTTAACAGGTTATATAAATCAGTTTAATTGGAATTTTATTGGAAACTAAAAAAAAACTGCTCAAATAAAAGCTCTATTTTACATAAATTAACAAAAATTTTGAGTTTAAGGTCCATAAAAAATAATTATGTTTTGTGAAATTATCCTGCTTATGTGGTGTTTCAATTGGACATTAATTGATTTTGTCATGGAAAATTATTAAAATGTAATTACGATAACTGTTCCGATACGTTAATTTTATTAGTGTGGACTATAAATTTTATAGATATTTGTTTATTAAAAATTAACAGCTTTATCACTGCTATAAAAATTTTAATTAAACAAACTTATGACAGTTTCATTACATACTTTTTTTAAAGCAAAAATTGCATTATGTTAATATATAAAGTTAAACATATATTATATGTTAAAAATTATTTAACAAATACTTATATAAAAATCAGCTTATATTACATATAATTTATTATTTACAACCTTTATTATTTATTATTTAATTTATTTGTACAATCTTTAAAATAAATTCTGAAAATCCTTCGGAGTAATACTTTATTATAACTTGGATGTAACTTTCATTCATAAGTTTCAATATCTGGATATATGAATATATCGAGTACTATATGTAGTAATAAACTAATACTATACATAACTTTCAACACTAAACATGATAGTTTGAAATAAGTACTTTCTTATTAACCATATACTTTTTAATGAAATCGAAAGAAATTCACACGAATTTTGTATAGAAACTTAAGCTAAATTATTATAATTAATTTCCACTTTCGTATATAACATATTGCATATAAATATTGTATTAATTTAAATGAGATCAATCTAGATTACTTATATATGTATATAGAGCAAAGGGGTCAAGTTAACTTTGAAACGTTGGCAATATTTTTTATTATTTAAAAGGGTTAAAATAATTTAACCCTTTTAAATTATAATATATATTTTATACCCCATTATATATATTTTAGGTGTTTGCTTAATTCGGAGAGCACTTTTTTACCATGATTGCAATATACATGTTTTATATAAATATCTGTAAAAATAGTTAACATTTAAAAAACTTGAAAAGTGCATATTGATATCTATAAGTGTATATTTTTAAGAGGTTTATTATTTTAGTCTTTCTAAAAAAATGTGTTTAAATTTTGGTTTGTGATACAGTAAAAAGAATGAAAAACTCAGTAATGAAACGATAAATCTGTAATTGAATATTTAATTACAATGTTTTTTGATAAAAAGATATTTATTTTAAAAGTTATGTGTTACATTTACTCTTGAGAGTAATAGATATCAAAGTTAATTAAAATAATTTTGCTAGTTCTGCAAATTATTTTTATAAATTAGAAGTAGTAAAATAATGTAATTTTTGGTTTGGTAATTTAAAAAATAAAATTGTCATGAAGTTTTATAACTCTGTTAATCCCATCCACGTAATGCTATCTACTTTCCAGATTCTAATTAATATCTGTGAGTAATTATGGTCCGTATAATAAACTTTTTCCATGGAAGTGAATTCAGAAGACAATCTACACTTAATTACAGTTTGTGTAAGATAAACCACTGTTCTATTTTTCTTCAATTTATTTTTTGGTAATTTTTTCTTTATTTTTAATTTCAATTTGTCTTCTTTCAGAACTCCTTTTAACTTTCATCCCATTTTCGACTTTAATCTTTCTCTAGTACACTCTATTACAAAATAAAGGAAATATTTAAAGCGTAACTTCAACTATCCTTGCTTTTACTTTATTTTTCAATTTCAAGCTCATCCTTTCCGGAAATTGACGCAAGAGTAATAACAACAAAAAATAATAGAAAATATGTTTGGGAATACAAGAAAGTAGTACCATAAAACGCAATACTGGTTTCAGTTCATCAGGGCAATTTTTTGTAATCCTGTTAGAGGAATTTTACTTCGTTTCTCTTAATAGTTTTATGTGGTTACGTCTGTATGTGTGCGCCTCGAATCCTATAAGTTGCTCACGTACGTGCAAATCGATAAATGCTAGTGTTTAACGTTATGTGTCAAAAGTGTATTCAAGTTAATGCGCTCACGTCTAATACGGTGACCTATACTAATAAATATAAAATTGCGAAAAGACAGTTAATGAGTCACAGAATTATATTAATTCAAGAAAAAATTAAAAAGTTTTTAAGTCCAAAATATTTTAGAACAGTAACACTACTACATTCATAAATATTCTGAAAAGTTTTATTAGAATGTCTAATATTAAAAATTATATGGTTGATTTTATGGAACAAATTATTTTTACAACCGTAATGTGTTTCAAATATCAATTTAAAAGCGATTTGCACAAATTTCGTTTAAGTCGCTTGAGCTGCTTTTTTACCCAAAAATATAACTTAAAAGCAAAAAAAAGTTGTGTATCAATGGTTTTCACAAAAATTCACTGATGCAAAAAAACATAAATTTTCTCTTTACGACATCTACGCGTTAGAATCCAAACAAACAAACTTTATACCGCCCACTGCATCACAGGATCTTGCATTTTTAATGCATGCAAATTTTATGCCAAAAATGAAATTTAAATATTCTCAAAAGAGAAAGTTAAATAAACTTTCTAAAGTGAAAAAATATGAAACTTAACAACACTGTCAGAGCTGCGAAAGTGAAATCCGCCAAAAATGTGTGGCACATGTTATGCAATTTCCGTTTCCTTTTAAGTGGTTTTTCAGATTACATTAACACTTCTCTGGAAAATTAGGGAAGTATTTAATACGAAAAGAATCTTTCTGGAAATTTTTAAATATGTGAAAAGCAAAACCATTTCTGACTGTAATATTGAAAAATAGAAGGGTTATACTCACAATAAATTGTTTTAATAATCTGAATAATAAATAAAGGTCAATATATACTGTTTAAACTTTTATATAAATTTGGTTTGGCATTTACCATTCGTTACAATTATAAATGCCGTTTTCAGTTGTTATTAAGAAGAAGAGAAAAAAACATTTAGCAAAATATATCACAATCGATAATGAATTAAAATTCGAGTAAATAGAACAAATACTACTATTTAATGAAGAAGTTAAACAAACATAATCACTGATCCTAAACACTTTTTGTAGTGTAAAATGACTATACACTACACTGATCTATAAATAAAAGTATACTTAAAAGAATACATAAGATCCGATGATAAAGTAAAACTCCATATAATCCAGAATGTAATAAAAGCCGCTTCAAAAAAAGATGTTTGATTCAGTAGCCATAGATAGAAAAGACAGTAGAAGACATATGTTTCTTTGGTGGAAGCACCAAGTGACCAATGATTTGGAGGCGCTCGTAAGTAAGTAAATAAACTTTAAGTAACAACTAAGTAATAAGATATAATAAGAAATATGCTACTATTTATTGAGTGAGTATAGCTAAAAGATTTAAGTGATTAGAAAGAATTTCAGAATATTGAACGGAGTCATCAAAGGCACAACACAGATGTCCACTATAAGTATCCCGCATCCATTATGTCAATCATGTCTACAAGAACACTTCGTCTATTAGTGGCCAGCATTTGTATTATGTGGTCTGAAAAATGTATTGAAACTGTTTTTATGTGATCTTAGGCATGATTGATGTTCATGTTCTCTCTCTCTCTCATGCTCTAGCTCTGCCCGGTCTTCTTAAATTTATTAAGGAAACTAAGAAATTCGCTTTATAGCAGGTTTATTAAAACCTTAAAACATTCTTTTCGGTTCGGACTATGTGCTTTGGGTACTTTATCCTCCCCTACATCAAAGAACATGACTGAGAGATGGTAGTAATGGATCGTTAAGAAATGGCGCTATGCAACTGCTCTAGCAGTGATAAAAATACAGTTGGAATTTGTTAAACAAAGTTTTAAATAGAATTAAATTAAACCACTTATCAATAAATCAGATTAATTTTTAGCTTTAATTTATTTGTATATGTTACATTTACAAATAATAAATGAAAATGTTTAAGAATGTCATAATCTATTATCCTAAAGAAACATTTATTAATTTTTCATTAGTAATCAGTAGTATTTTCCTTTCGTAGTATTTATATATTTTATATTCATAAATTGATACTATATAAATATAATTTATATTTATATACTTATAATTATATAAATGTAACAAAAACACTGTTAACCTCTTTTATATATATTATTACTATAATTATTGTGCTAATCAATTGAAACGGAGCAACGGAGCGTATGAGTTACATTAATTTGCCACTTGTATTATAATTATATACAATAATTATAAATTCGAAATTATTATTTCAGCTTAAATAATTCCAATTAAATATTTGTTTCTAAAGCTCTAATTAATAATGTGGTTTTAACACCCTTTAAATAATGAAAAGCATATTTATTTATATGCAGCAGTGATTTGGCAATATTT